GTGATTCTATCTATCCCGCTTTTTTCTAGCTTCCCAATAAGTTGGTTGTGGTCTACTTTGTCAAATGCCTTGCTGAAGTTTAAGTATATTATGTCCGCAATATTTTGCTGGTCTATTAATTTAGTCACTATGTTGAAGAGTGAAATAAGATTGGTTTGGCATGATCTGTTTTTAACAAACCCGTGCTGACTGCTAGTTATTACTTGTTTCTAGATTTTTGCAGATCTGTTTTTTTTTTAATTATCTTTTCCTGTATCTTCCTAGGTATTAGGCTATTAGTCAGATTGGTCTGTAGTTTCCTGGATCTGTTTTTTCCCCCTTTTTTGAAGATGGGAACCACATTGACTTTTTTCCAGTCCTCTGGTTGTTCCTTAGTGCTCCAGGATTTTTGAAAGATGTGGTGTAGTGGTTTTGAGATGACCTCTGCCAGCTCCTTTAAAACTTTGGGATGTAATCCATCAGGTCCCAATGATTTGTGTTCATCAAGATCAGACCAATATTCTCTTATTATTTTTTGCTTATTTTAATTTTTATTTCTAGTCTGTCTTTTACAGTTATGTTTTTGGTAGGTTGCACTATAATTTCTTTTTGCGTGAAGACTGATGCAAAGAATGAGTTAAGCAGCTCTGCTTTCTCTCTGTGGCCTGTTACTTCCTTGCTGTCTTTGGTGGACTCACTGTTTCCTTGATTTCTTTCTTGTTATTTAAATTTTGGAAGAAACTTTTTTTATTATCTTTGACTTTTGTTGCAAGACTTTGTTCGTTCTGAACCTTTGCTTTCCTGACTTCGTCTTTGTAGATTCTGGCTGTCTGCTGATAATCTTCCTTAGTTGTATGTCTCTCTTTCTATTTTTTATACTTGTCCTTTTTTCCCTTTCAATTTGTCAGAGAGATATTTGTGCAGCCATGCTGGTTTCTTCTTGGATTTCTTGTTTTTCTTTCTCAGTGGTTTTGTGCTGGTATGGGCTTTTATGGTCGTACTTTTCAGAGTTTCCCAAGATTCCTGAGTTGTTTTCCCCTTTAGGATTTTCATCCAAGGAATCTTTCCCCTTTAGGATTTTCATCCAAGAAAATCCATCTTTCCCTTCTGTCTGAGTTTATTAAAATCAGCTCTTTTAAAATCTAAGAGTCTGGTGTCATGTTCTATTGCTTGAGTTTGTGTTATGTTGAATTCTAGTATGACATGGTCACCCAAGGTTCCTGCAGTTTCAACTCCCTCTATCACTTCTTCCTTGTATATAAGAATTAAGTCCAGTATGGCTGTCCCTCTACTTCCATCCTCTAGCTTTTGGACCACAAAGTTATCCGGTAGGTTGGTTAGAAACCCATTTGACTTCTCACTTGGTGTATTCTTAGTTTTCCAATCGATATCAGGGTAATTGAAGTCCCCCATTACTATTGTAGTGTATTTCCTACATATGTTTGTTAGTTGGTTGGCAAAAAGTAGGGTTAGGCCTCCGTTTTCTATGAAGTAGAGCTTGTACCAGATCCGGGCAAAGAGCCCTTGCAAGCCGATTAGACTTTGGGACAGCAATATAGCCATTCTTGAAACCTCCCAACCTTTCCAGTCTCCATGCAAAGAGCGTTTACAAACTAATATGGAGTTTCAGAGAAATTCAGAAGGAAATTCAGTTGACTTTCTACAGTTTGATCTTTTTCTCTAACCGTATTATCATTTTCATTTCTCTTTTCCTTTGAAGGTAATGCTAAAGATGGAACAGAAAAGTTTGGATTTCGAATGGAATTTGAAAGTCATGAGAAAAAACAGTCAAATAATTGGAATCAGGAAATCTCATCTTCCACTGATGCTCCGAAGCAAGACCTTATTGCCCAACAAGAGAAAATAACGAAACAATATATTAGGAAAAGTATAAAGCTAATCAAAGATAAATTACATGTAGACAAGCACTGTTTGATCCAGAACAAATGCAGAGAGTATGATAACAGGTTCAGAAGTGGTAGTAATCCTATTTCCCATAAAAGGATTCACTCAGGAGAGAAACCATATAAATGCATGGAGTGTGGGAAAACCTTTACTCATAGCAATG